GTTCGTTTACGTATATTATTGTAACTTGCAATGCGATGACTTATGGTCCGACATTGTGACATAACAATAGGAATTATTTTGTTGTTCGTAGACGAATTGGAGGCCGAGTCACACGAGGATGTAACGTTTTCCGAACAAATTCGAGGTACCTCTGCCAGTCCCGGGGACGGTGGTTTGAACGACTCTTCCGAAAATTTCTCTTACACGATCGCTGGAAATCGTTTAAAGTCGTAGATTTTCTTAACGATGCAGACTTATATGAAGATTCAATCAAAGGTAGCCGTCCCACCCACTCCGCATGTCTGACAGGCACCCTTGGGTTGCAATTTATTTCACTTTTATCGATTAGCCCAGATATATTGTTGTCGTAATATATCTCTTTCGATAAACGTTTTGTACACTTGATTGACTTGTGACCTTTGACCTTATTTGCGGTGTTTTGTTTTGGCGTTTGTCCGAAAACTAATTCACTGCTTTTTGCCCTGACCTGTTCGGAGGGACCCGATTTTTCTGATTGCGTTTTTAAAGTTGAATTAACTGTTTTCGCTGGCATGGAATGGGACAATTCTTCGTTCGATTGGTATGTTTCGGGAGCAAGAGATTCGCCATTCGCCAGATTAGTAATAGTATTAATTTCACACCCTGATTCCGCTGCTTCATTACAGTGGGTTGATTTTAATGTAACACTTTGTTGGTCTTCTGTTGGGGTTTTAAGTAATGAACAGTTTTCCTGCAGGGTTTTGTATAAACTATTATCTGGATCGATACTAATTACATCTTCACACAGTTTCAATGATCTCTGTTAAAGGTCGATCGCTATTACCAAACAGGCAATGGACATTGTAGTCATATTGTTTGTCTTGATTGGGTATTGTTTCCATAGCCGAGGAGGTTGTGTCATGTACAATTATCACATGACTGGAGGTGCTGTTAACGTTTACATTTTTTTTTATTTCCTTGCTTTGTATTATTTCTGACGAGTTCTTGCTTGAGTGATTCAAAACATGTTCATCATGCATAACGGCTAATCCTTCTCTTTTTTGTTCTGCGTAATTTAAATAAAATCAAACACATTATGCTCTAAGAAGTAGACCACATTAACTTTGTAAACGTTTCGAAGAAATAAATGTATTTTAAGACTGAATTCTTGTGTAAACTTTTGGCTGCAAAGCGCTGTTGTCTTGCCTAAATTGCTTTCTCTCTTCCCGCACGGATAACCCGCGACGCCCGCGCAATGAATATCCTAATCTACCCGTATTTATCCACACAGTAGAAAAATGCAAATCTCTGATAAAAGTTAATCCTTTAATTAGTTTCACCCTAACAACACATAGCAAGCGGTGTGCTCTAATATAGCTTAAATTTTTGATAACCTTATCCGAGTTTTAGCACTTTACAAAACTAGCACTAAAATATAGAAATCGCTTGACAATTATATATCATAACCTCTAATTTCCATGTGTTTATATAACTCTAGACAGCAACATATTCTCTCGTATATAGACCTCATATGGCAGACCGAGATTTAAATATTAGTTTGTAGATACATAATAACTCTTACGGCTTGCTGTTTCTCAGCGTTTTGACGCTTGATAATTGCTGCCGAAGGCAGCCTCCTATTCTTGACGATGTGTTATAGCGCATTTGAATTTCCCGCCTACAGTTTTATAAAGTTGAAGTGAATCTCGATTTTGTGTCGTTCAAGTGTTTGTCGGCAGTTGTGACGTCAAATTATGACGTAGCAGTAAGGAATTTACATTGTAGCATTAGCATACTCCAGGAGTTACGATAGCAAAGCGATGACTGCCAAATGCTTTGTTCAGAGATCTGCGAACGACGTACCAAGAATGGCGTTTAAAAATATTTCGATCTCTAGCTTCACAGCATATATTTAATAATCGAAGGAGCGGAGCAAAGACATTTTTTGTATTTACTGGCCTTATCAATTCAAGTTTTGTGAGAAAGGGAGATCGTTTAGAGGTATGTAAATTTGCACGCTTTTAAGCTCAATATTATTCACAGCAATTTCGACTGTTACGTTTGTAAAACGTGTGCGAAAGCCCAGGCGAAAGCCTAGTATGTTTTTGTTTGGTACTTCGTATCATCGTATGTGCAAGATCTTATAATAAAAACCTTAAATACGAGATAAAATCAGCTTGCCATTTCAAAATTGACATGATCATGAAATAACAATGTTTATTATATAAACATAAGTGTTATATAGAGTTTTTGGCCACTGAGAATAATCGTATTTAAACACACGTAAAAATACGATATTTTTACGTGTGAAAATATCATTTTTTGTAAAACGCATTGCCACGGACGTTTTATTGCTTTACACTGAATTTTGTTTATATAATAAACAGAAAAATACATGGCTGTTTGAAAATACCAGATTTATTTCTCGTGTTGAACATGATACCTCACTCGTTCGCTGCGCTCACTCGTGAGATACAATGTTCAACACTCGAAATAAATCTGGTATTTCCGCGCACCCATGTATTATTCTCTATTTAACAGCTGTATTTAAAGTAGATATATTTTCCAATTTTTTGTCATATTTTCGTACACTAATGAGATTATGTCTCTGTGGCCCTGTTTTTGACTCAGCTTTTATACCTTGCTATACTAGCCCAAAACATTAAAACATAATCATACATATTAAATAAATGCACCTATGGTTATGAGGATTGTTGTCTGCACATATTAAAGTTGTGATACCGCCCGATCTGTTCATGTACACTCAGGAGCCCTCTTTTTATTTATATACAAACAGTTTA